ATAGATAGATAGATAGATAGATAGATAGATAGATAGATAGATAGATAGATAGATAGATAGATAGATAGATAGATAGATAGATATTTTTTTCTCAATCTTTAACTTCAGTGACAAGAAAATGTGTGATAGTATGATTTTAAAAAGTGTTGTTTACATTGTTCAATAGATTAATTTACCCCTTTCACTAGATGGTAGAACAACATCCGGGTCTTTCCTAAGCAGGAAAACTTCAAGAAATATTTTCTACTGCCTACAAGTTGCCATGTATTTGAGATATGCCTAATTTTATATGGACTTTGCGGTTAAATGTTTGTTATTTAGCTAATTATTTTTTCAAATATTTGCTAAATGAGCAAAAAAGACTATATTGGAAGAAACACGCCTTTATTTTGAAATGTACCGGAAATCGATGTGTAACGTTGAAACTACCGGAAGTAGATCATTTGTACTGTCACAATCTGATGGCGCTAGCTTTAGGCATAATTCAGAGGTCAGAAAACATAACTAAATTCGAAAATGTAACGCAAATGCAAATAGGTTTACACTGATGGGCTATTAATGTGACCTCTTCAAAACGGCGGTTCAACTCAAAACTTTAGTTGATGATATTTAGCATGAATTTTGAGGTCCGAAGCTAGTTAGCCTTGACTTCTCCGTCGTCATGGATGCTGATCTTCTGCTCGCCATTCAGCTTCAGGAGCAGTTTGACGACGAATATCAGACTTCACAGTTACCACCAGAGTGCTTCTTGGAGGATGACTTCGGACAGAGCAGTAAGAAACAGAAAGTTGGGGAACCTGGAGGTGGAAGCGGCGCTGTTCACCGCTGGAAGCCGCAGACCTCTTCCCCTGAGAAGCCCCTGAGCATCGTAGACGAGTCCTGGGAGATGCTGGACCCCAACCCAGACGTTAGGGCCATGTTCCTGGAGTTCAACCACATGTTTTTCTGGGGGAAACTTAGCGGGGTGGAGGTCAAGTGGAGCCCCAGAATGACTCTGTAAGTCACCTTTAATTTAATATTTCCAATAATAATCATGTGGAGTGCCCTCTCTCACAGAAAACACAACAGATAATGATTTTAATCTGAAACTAAAGCAGTTTGATGGTTATATTTTGCCCGCATATTATCTTTTATATTATATTTTGTTTTGGGTTGTTTGACAAAAACAATCATAATTTCTCAACACAAAATTCCATAGCGAAGCTTTATGTAATAAGTCAAATCCAGAGTGGACTTCTAAATCTCCAAGTTTGGATCGAATTGGTGACAAGATAGGAAACCCATTCATCCCCCTGCTGAACATCAAGCTCCATGAGATCACAAGATGTTTATTGCCCAGAACCAGAGGAGGATCCTTCCAAAAGTTCATTATCTTTCCCCAATGGCAGCGGTCTTCAACGCTTTCCAGGCCAAGGACCCCCAAACTGAAGGCGAGATGAAGCGGGGACCCCCTAATTATATATATATATATATATATATATATGCAATATATGCTGTATGAAATAGTGTTATATAAAACTGGTCCTATATTCACTCTATTACAGATGGAGTCATGTAATGAAAGTAATTTCTCCCTGGGAGTATTAAAGTATTTCTGATTCCTGGTTGATGGAACAGGTGTTGTGAATGAAACGGCGCCCAGCTTGAAAGAGCTCCTGCGTGTCGCTGAATGTGTGCATTGATGACTGAAAGACATCTTCTGCCTCCATTTATCTGTTTACTACAGTGTGTTGAATTCCTGTTAATGTGGATTTAAAGACATTTCAATTAGTGGAAAAAATTGCAGTCTAATCAACCAAAACTTTGGGGGTCGGACCCCCTAGGGGTCGCGGACCTCCTGTTGAAGACCTCTGCCCTATGGTGTATGATTTGGCAACCTGCAAAAAAAAAAAAAAT